CACCCTGACACCAAAAATGGCTGCATAAGTGTGCAAACAGTACTCATATGCTCATAAAATGCTTAGGACAATGTTTTTCTCTCAGAGGGTGGTGATAAACTGGAACAGGTTTCCCAGAGAGGTTGTGGAGTCTCCTCCTGTGGAGACATTCAAGACCCATCTGGACGGCTAGCTGGGCGACTTGTCATGGGGTTCTTGCTCTAGCAGAGGGGTTGGACTCAGTGATGTCTTGAGGTCTTTTCTATCCCCCGTGTTTCTGTGATTTCCCCATTTCCCTTTGCCTGCAGTCAGCCACAGTCCCCAAGCGCACTTTAGCAACTGCCAGCTGGAATGAAAGGCAGTAACTGGTGGCTGACTGTATCATCATCGGCTCCACCGTTGCAGACAAAACTCTCTTATTCTCCTCCACATCTCACTAGAAGAACGAGAGTCTCAAGTTGTGACTGAGTAATTTTTGCTTCAAACAGTCTTTGAGAGGAAAAAAGAAAAGCTGCTTCCTCCCAGGATCCCTCTAACAGAGGCAAGCTACAACTGTGACCGCAGCAACAGCAAAGGCAGGGGTGCCAGTACCTGTCTGTGGGCCCAAGCAGCCGGGAGAAGTTGTCAGTCATGACCTCTTCGTGACAGTGGGTGAGGATGACCACTGCCTGGCACAGGAAGGGCATGAAAATGCTCTGCTGCATGGATGATGTGCAGCTGCGCAGGATGTAGAGGATCAGTGGCACCTGAAAGAAGGGGAGAAAGAATGACTTGCTGCATCCTTGACTCTGCAGGGCCTAACCATGGAGATTTGGTGCATGAACAGTGCTCGTTCCCTTGATGTGCTGCCAAGGCCTATGCCTAAATTTCATGCCAGCGCTGGCTCTGCACTCAGGTTGTGCTTTTGGACAGGAGGCAAACGGCACAAGACATAGAGCAACAGCCTGAGAAAGTCCAAGACGTGTAAGAAAGTCTCTTACATCTTGACAGATGTCCTTTCCGCACATCTGCAGAAAGGTGATCAGCCACTTCCCAGCAGCACACACACGCATTCCTTTAGCTTTCCGGAAGCTCTCCTTGATGGCCATCATGAGGTCTACGGTGCGTTCCAGGGGGAAGTTTCTGCATACGATCTGCAGAGAAACGAGAAGCAGGAGAGATCCCATCACTGCTCTCTGGCAGCTCTTCAAAGTATAAAGCAGTCTTGAAGGCATTCTTAGTTCAGTGGCCTGCCGGTCATTCAGGCGGGAATCACAATGTTCCTGCTCTCCGTACCCCGCTATTTATTCATAAGGCGGTCACGCCATCTCTCAGCTTCTGCACCCAGGGTGTTTGCTTACATGCAAAGCCTACCTCCCAGCAGCCACAGTCACACACACACAAACACACACAGTCTCTCACACACACACACACACAAATGCACATCATGGAGTCAGCTCCTTGTGCTGGGTGCCTGAAGGCCAGACGTAGCTCAGAGCCTCCTGCTGCGTGCTGAGAAAAGCGGTCTGAGGGCGACAGCTCGTTCTGGAAATGGTGTGAGAGGCTGCGGGGAGCAGAGGGACATGAAGAAACCTAGGCACTGGGATCCCACCACTCCTTTTTGGGTCCACTTACCCTTGCGATTCTGGCTGAGGTCTGGAGCTGAGAGATGTTGCTGCAGGAATGCAACCCCTCACGCAGGCTACCGATGTCTCCCGTCTCAATGACTCTGTTGGTCGCCTTGGCTGGAAAGAGCATGGGGAGAAAAGTGAAATCATGCTTTTGGAAATGGAACTGCTTTCCACAGGGGAGAGACACTTGAAGCTCTTCACAAACAGCCAGAAGCTGGGAGCCGGTCTGCAGGGCCCTCTTGCGCTCCCACATGTTTCCTGATGTCATTGATCTCTGCAGGACCTGGGGCAGAGCATCTGTCTCATTGTGGACATCTTTTCTTTCCCTTCCTGCCACCCCTCTCCCTGTCCCTCCTTTCCCAGCACTTTCCTTCAGGGCCTGCCTTTGGGCTGCGTGCGGCCCCTCGCCTCACTGAGCACTGGCACTGCTGCCCTCGTTCTCTGCAAACACTCCTGCCTCCTAACGCAGGAGCTTTTCCTCAGCTGTGGCCTGCCAGGAACTGGCTCCTGCCTTTCCCCCTGCAGGGCCCATTTCTCTGCCCATTTCTGAGCTCAGAGTGAGCTGGCACGTCATCAGATTTCTCCCCTTCTGATCGCCCTCTCAATCTCCAGATCTCTGTCCCTGCTATCAACAGGCATCATGCTTTCTCCCTTGCCCCACAAGTACTCACATGTACTATGTTCTGGAAGAAGCCACCAGTGGGCTCTGTCTCAAGCTGGACTGCTATGAGCCAGCCCAGAGCTTTCACTGATGTTTGCAGAAGCTGAAAGCAGAAAAGGGGATTGAGGTGTGGCATCACAGCTGCTGCAAGAGCATAGGTCGTGTGTGCTGAGATAGGGTTCTGACTGAGAGATGGCTGTGAAAGTTATGGCAGGTTACCTGCAGGTATCGAGCTGCTTGCTGTGACTTCCTGATCTTCAGCATCATCTCTGCTGAAGGGTGTGTCACAATGTTCTTGCAGCACAGAGTCAATATTTCAAGCATGTCCTTGCTTCCAAAAGAGGGCTTCAGCTTGCTGACAGGAGGAAACAGGAAGAGAAAGTAGAAAGGGCCTTTAGCAGCACTCTCCAGACTGGTTCAGACAACATCTGAGTTTCTCCTAATCAACAGCTGCAAAGCCAGCACCACCAGCCCGTACTGTTGAGTACCATCCTCAGTTCCAATGGCGTCTGCCTGCTCCCCAGCAACAGTGAACCACCTCCTGCTCTGAAAGGACAGACACCCAAGGTCTCCCTTCTCTTCTCCACCAGGGGACAGGAGAGCCAGGGCCTTTCTCCCTGCCCAGAACCTCAGCTTCACCAGGCACAACAGTCCAGCTGTCTCTCCTGTAGATGCGGCTGCTCAACCCCCGCCTCCAACAGACCTTGGAGAGCTACCCAAAAGCGGGCCACCATCCTACCCTGCAAAGGCTCCCACTCTTACCTCAACTGCTCCAGGGCCAGAACCACCTTGAGGGGTACTGGGGAGGCAGGGATGCCCAAATAATACTTCTTCAGCAAGTCCTGCAAGTCGCAAAGAAACAACTGTCAAAGAGGGCAAAGGGCATGCGAGAGCTATTCCTCCTGGCCTAGAGACAGACAGCTGCCACACACCGGTCCCATCGTTCCCTCATTTCCCACTGAGGCACTGCAGGATGCAGCAGCTCCACAACTGTTGGACCTAGCCCACTGCCCCGCTGCCTGCCAGCACCCAAGGACCTCACCAGCTGGAGACATGTGGATGAGGAAGACCTGCATGCTTCCAGGGAATTGAACCTCGTGGCACAGAACAGAAGTCTGCTGCAGACAGCCCCGTCTCTAGGCACTCACCATCAGGATCTCCAGAAGCTTGCCCTTCAAGGAGGGATTAAAGTAGGCAGAGTCACCCACAGCTTGGAAGGCAGAGCTGAAGTCTGTGATGCTCTGCACCAGCGCAAGATTGTTCTGCAAGTCCTGAGGCCCAAGAGAGAAGAACATTCTTTGAACTGTGGTTCTAAGGGGCCGAGGGCTGCAAGGTGGACTTGTGGGGGCAATGCAAAGGGAAGGGCTTGGATCTTCATCTGGGCGCAAACCGTTCTCCGAGGGAGCTTTGGAAAGACAAGGCCCATCTCAGCATCCCCCCATGTGGAGGGGCTGCAGCTGGGCACTCAGACACCCTGGCTCACTTCAAGCTCTCACCCAGCAGCTGCAGCTGTAGAGCAGCAGGATGTTGCCCACAATGTCTCCCACGAGGCGGGCGAGCAGCTGTTCCTTAGAGGCACGCAGTGCCAAGCTGCCATGGGCGAGCATGAGAGCACTGCGTGTGGCATGAGCTCTTCTGCTGTCCAGCTCCACCTGTGTGGGAAGAAATGCCTTGAGACACTCGCTCAGCGGCCCCCAGTGCCCCGTGATGCACCTGGGCTCCCAAGGCAGGAGCTGCTGTGAAAATAAGGCAGAAGAATGCCAAGATGGAAACCCGTAATGCTTCACCTTCTTGCGTCTGGAAATCCTTGCATTCTGGCCTTTGCACAGCCTGGACGCAAACATGGTGAGCGTGTCCAGGACTGCGTGGAAGTTGCTCTCAGCAGCATGGCTGAGAAGACAGATCATTCCCTGCGCAAAAGAACAAGGGGCAGTTAGTGCAGGCCTGAACCTACTGGTGCGGCCAGCCACAGTGGCCAGGCCAGTCCTCGCCTGAAGGAAATGCCAGCAGTGAGGAGATCAAAAGGCCTGGAGCAGGGCCAGGAGAAGCCCCCTGGCCCAGGGACAGAGTGGGGATGCTTGCAGAAGCTGGAGAAGAGGAAAGCTCACCTGGGCCTCAGCTGGCTCCTCCGCATTTGCTTCCTCCAGGTGCTGCAGCAGCTTCTCTTGGATGTGGAGGACTCCTTTACAAGCTGCCAGTGCTGTCCCCAGAGCCTTGTACAAGAAAGACTGCATGGGAAGGGAAGGAAGAAGCTGAGATGTGGCAGCAGCCTGATCTGCTGGCTCCCTGGGAGTCACTGGGAGCACCTGCAGGGCCGAGCTGTAGCCAGCCCCTGGGCAGTTTGCAGGGAAATGAGCTTTGAGGGGCATAGCCCGGGGAAGCAGCATGAGCAGCCCGTGTGGGCAGCGCACCAGCCCCAGCCCCAGCACCTGTTGAGCACCTGAGCGCCTGCACCACTGGGTAGAGCCGGGGGGAACTCACCTTTTCTCCAGAGCTGCTGGCAGAGCTGCTCAGCCACCGGCTCAGCTCGCAGCTCAGGCCCTTGGTCCAGGCCTCATCCTCTATGGTCTCCAGCGACGCCCTCAGGAACTGTTGGAGAACAGGAGAAGCCAATGATCCCTTGCCCTTTGCCTCTTCCCCCATTCCCATGTTGCTGCAGCCTTCTGGGGAGAGGTGCCTGGAAGAACAATCTCTCTCCCACCTCCCCCCAGCATTCCTTCCATTAAAGCTGCCTGCTGCTCTTCTCCTAAGACCCCCCTGGGCTTGGGACAGAGAGGAAGAGGCAGCGCCACAAAGGCATGCAGCTGCTCCGAGGCAGCATTTGAGAGGCTGTTCCTGTCCCACGGTGGCTCATATGGGAGCAGGGCTACTCAAGGCACACAGGCACTTCTCTGCACTGCACCGCTCAGCAATGCTGTACCTTTAGCAGTCGGTGCTCCCACTCTGCAGAGTCCGGGAAGCTCTCGTCTTTCCCTGCACAGCAATAAGAAGCAAAAGACCATTGCTTGGGATCAAGCCACAAAGGAAGAGCTGCTGCAAACCTGACTTGGCCTGGGCACTTGGCAGTGCCAAGCTGCGACCTGCACCCCTTCCACAATGACCTGTCCCTCCCCACAAAGACTGTCCCAGCAGGAACACAGAACTAACTGTTCCAAGACTGCTATCTGAGGGGACGTGAAGGGCCCATCCATGTCCTGGAATGCACAGATCCCTGGGGGGAAAGATCCCCAGGCCTCAGCGCTGTCTCCCTGGAATGGGAACAGCAGCAGAGCAAGCACTGGGCCGCAGGCAACGCTTCCCCTCTGCCATGCTGCAGAGCTGCATTTTCATTCCCCCCCTTCCCTTCTCTTCCCTGCCTCCACCTATCCCTCTCCACCAACACTTTACCTTAGAAGCACTGCAGCAGCAGGGGGATCTCAGCAGCCCACATGGCCCCCAGAGCTCTGTGGAACCTGCTGTGGAGGTTTTTCATCAGCAGTAAGGCAGCGGCTTGGAGTTCGCTGCCTGCAACATGGCTCCCTGCCACCACCTGAGCAAGAGCAAAGAGAAGCAGGGTCACTTCTGCAGCAAGAGCAGCAGGAGGGAAGAAGATCGGCTCTGCCCTGGTGGGCAAGGGCAGCCAACAGCTTTGCCTGTGGCCGCTTCCTCCTAGGGGCTGGTGGCACTGGACTCTGGAGCATCTACTCACCAACAGGCGTGTCAGCAGTGTCTGTGGAGTCAGTAGTGGGCCTGCGGGGAGAAGGAAGTGCTGAGTAAGGCTCCAAGACACTCCGTGCCCTGCCACGCTCACCTCCGCTGTCCCTGCTGGGTGCTGACAGAAGACCAGCAGAGCTCACTGGGGGAGTTTCTGCTCCTACCTTGAAACACAGAGTTGAGGAAATGGGGATTTAGTTCTTCTCTCTCCTGCCCTGTCAGGTCCTGTCTTTCAGCCAAGGCTTGGATGCAGCGGGAGACCGGGATCAGCATGCCCGTGTACTCGGCTGGCACCACAAACAGCAGCAGCCACGGCCACAGGAGCTGTAGGGAATGAGGCAGTTGAGCATGTCAGCATTCCTGCCCCCGCTCAGAGATGAAGAAGACTCTGTGAAGTTCCCTGAGTCATGTGCGCTTCAGAGCACATTGGAAGAGAGACCTGGGGTGTTGGAATGGGATGAGGGACACGTAGTGCGCAGGCAAGGAGCAGCAGCAGGGTGGAATGTGACTTACTTTGGACATCCCTCTCCCAGAGACATCCAGTGACCCCAGGATGTCCATGCACAGCTCTTGGAGATCTCCTTCTTCCTGGGCTTCCTGGGCAGAAAGGTTTCCGGTTGCCTGCACAACAGTGTTGTTGCAACACTGGTTACTCTCAGTTCTCAAAAGCCACTCACGGAGGCTCATGTGTGGTCTCTCTGATGCTTCTGTGCATCAGAAGATGAGCCCCTGAGCAGCACAGGTTTTCCAAAAGAAGATGCTGCCCACTGTCCTTACCCTTCTTCCCGTGGTGCGGCTGAACTCACTGAAGATGTGCCCCACCACATCCCAGGACGAGCAGCTCCTGGCATTAGTGCTGAGCAGATCTTCGATGAAATGCAGAACAGCCCTCCTCACCTGCCAGGGGACAATTGTGAGTGTGATTTTCCTGATCAGAAGGCAAAGGGAAGCCACCTGCCCATCGGAGCAGCCCTTTGGGTGTGAGCAGAGACTACAAGAGCAGAAGAGAAGCCTTGGCTCCTGAGGTGAGGGCCAGGCCTTAGCACCAGCCTGTGTGCTTTCCATGCACAGCGCAGGGACCTGCCCGCTCCACTCTGCCAGCTTTCCCCACAGGACCCATTGCGACCATGTGGTCCATGCCCCAGCACCTCCCTGGTCACCCATCCACCTGTGCCCCATCCCCTCCTGAGGCTTAGACAAGGGGGAAACTGCTATGGGCGCAAGGATAGGTTCCCCTTACCTGATACAATGTGGCACTGGTGATGACCAGAAACTTGTCCTTGGGGATGAAAGACTCAACACCCTCTAGAGCCTCCAGGAAGATAGTGAGGCTCTGCAAGAGACCAGGAGAGGAAGAAAGGCCTGAAGCCACATCTAGCCACTTGGAGCGAAGAAACTGTTTCCCAATGGTTTGTCTCCTGGGAGAAGCTCCTGCACAGGCATTCCTGTTTGTCCCTCCCTCCCAGCAGCACCAAGATTGTCTCTCTGCTCTCAACTGAGCCCTGTTTGGGCATTGTTTGCAGGTATTTCCCACCCAGCAGCCCTCTTCTCCCCCATCAGATGCAACTGGATGTGGTCCCCCTGGTTGTTAGCACAGCTCCTCAGGCACTCAGGCCCACAGTGGTGGTTGTGGTGGTGGTGAAGTCTCCCATCCCCAGGAGATGGGCCCCAGTGACTCTTGGCTCCCTCCTGGCTCCTGTCTGGGTTGTTCCTTCTTTGACTGAAGAGCTCTGGAAGCCTCAGATCTCCCTTGAACACCTGTTCCTCCTTTCTTCAAGGGCTCTCTGCCTCCTCCCTGCATCCCCCTGGCCCCTCGTGGCACTTCACGGGCCTCACATCCACGCTGAACCCTGCGCATCATCTTACCTTGGCCATCCTGCAGGTGTCTTGGACCTCCTGACATGGGTGCACGAGCCAGAGAAGCTGCTCCCAGGCCTGCTCTTGGTGCAGCTCCTCTTGCAGGAGGACAGCCATCATGGCAGCCAGAGCCCGGAGGACAGCCTGTTTGTCCTGGAGAGGGATGGCAGAGGCCCGGCATCAAAGACTGAAGGTCTGCCCTTCCTACAGAGAGGGCGTTCTCTTTTCCTTCCCTTTCTTCATACCCTGTGCCCAGCAGGAGATGGGCTCGCTCTGGAGGGCAGGCAGGTGTTTCCCAAGTCCTCATCCCCAGCTCTCCCTGCCACAATACTGTGATGTGCAGCTGCTTCCCGGCAGGGAGATCCAGCTCAGAGCTCAGAGCCAGTCTGGGGCCCTTTGCAGAGCCAGCCCACTCCCTCTTGTCACCCCTTTGCTCTCAGCCCTCTGGGCACTGACAGAGCTGCCGACGCGGATGCCCCCACTACCATCCCAGGCTGAGAATGCATCAGTGCTCACCTTTTCCTCCTGGCAGTCCTGCCAGTTCCTCACCACAGAGAAGAAGAGCTGGTGAAGATTCTCATACATTTGCTCTTTCTCCATGGCAGACCAGGGGCATTGCTTTGCAGAGGACAAGTGAAACTTGATTCCATCTGACCACTGTTTCACAACTGAAAAAAACAAAACAAACAATAAAAAAAGAAGAAGAATTAATTAAAAAACAAACAAATAAGAACAACAACAGAGCAAGACAAGAGAAAAGGGAGCCTGTGAGAGTCTGCAGCAAGGCAAGGTGCAAGGGCTGTCCCGAGGCCCCCTGCTCTGGGGCCAGCACTCACCAGCACAAGCGATGCGCAGGGTCCGGCCACTCTTCACCTGGCCCACCACACTGCGTAGGCCGGCAAGAGTCAGCCATGTGAAGGAGATGCACTGTGGAGCTGCAGAGAGGAAGGAGAGGGCCATGGTCAGAACCCCAGCAGTGAGGGAGGAGGGGCTGCAGCCCTGCATCCCCCAGCTCAACACAGTCCAGGTGCAGAGGGGAGAGGCCCCTTTCCCAGTTGTCAGAGATATCAGGAAGCTCGGGGCACTCTACCATAGGTGCTGAAGAGTTTGCTCAGGGTGATGAGCACAAACTCCTTGGACATCTCCCCTGCGGCCTTCAGGTGGCCCTGGAGCTCGGCCATCACCAAGCTGAAATGTGTCCAGGCCAGAGCCACCAGGACATTGCTGGCAGCCATCCTCACGTTGTCTGTCACACCCTGAAAAAGAGTCACTGGTGACACGTGGCACAGGAGACTGCCTGAGGCCTTCCCTTGGAACAGCTAAGCCACCGCTGTCCGCCAGCAGAACACCAGCGTGGGCAGGTGGCTCCCTTTGCCTTTGGGAGTGACCCCTCACCTGGGCTGCCGTCAGGTCCTGGGACACCTCTGCCAGCAGCCAGTTCACCACTCCGCATGGTGGGCGGCTGTGGTCTTCCCTCAGGGCACTCTTCAGCTCACAGTACGCCTGCACTCGGTCACCCTGGGGACAAGGATCAGTCACGCTCGCATGGCCCGCTGCCAACCATCGCATTGTGGATGTGCTGCTGGGGCCTGGCACACATGGGACCAGTACTGTGGCACTGGGCCAGGGCAAGGATTGATGGTTGGATGTCCCCAGCTCACCTCCTGATCTTGCAGACGCTGCAGCAGCAAAGACACGGCACAGGCAGGGACAGGGCTTGCCACCCTGCCTCTCTCCCTGCGACGCATACATCTGGGCATGCAGCCCACACAAGCAAAGAGTCCTGGAAGGAAAAGCAGAGCAGCTGTTGCTTGGAGCCAGGGCCGAGCATCCGGCCAGCTCTGGGAGGAACACTCCTCCAGCCCCACAGTGCAGGCTGAGCTGCGCTGGCACATGTGGTTTGCAGGGAGTGGAGAGAGAGCCTTCTACTTGCTGGGGTACTGGGGAAACCACGGTGGGCGGCTGCACTCAGCATAGCAGGGATAGTGCTGCTGGCATATCCTAAACAGACACTGGAGACACACATGTGCTCGGGCAGCGTCACGGTGTCCAGAGAGGTGGAGGGAGCTCACCTCGAAGGGCTCTTAGCCGCTCCATCACAGCAGGATATCTCCAGACAGACACAATGCTCTCTCTGGGTTCACTTCCTGTGAGTCCCACAAGCAGACTGAGCCACCGCTCCCACTCCTGCCACAAGGGTGAAAGAGACCACAACTGTGACATCATACCAAGCAGTGTCACCTCACAGAGAAGGACGTGCTCTGGCCTGGGAACCAGACAGCATGCAGAGCAATCTTGCAGGCCCCCCAGAACAGCATGTTTTTGTGATGCACTTGGCTCCGGGTTGGACACGTTCCACGCTGAAGCAGAGAATCACCTCAGCAGGAGAGAGAGAGCCCCTGCCAGGGATGCCGTTGCCCGGCATTGTCTTAGGGATTGGGACTCCATGCCGGGAGGCACTGAGGCCCCCATCTGCTGCCCAGACAACCTCTCCAGAGAGCTTTGCTGTCTTCCAGGAGCATATAGTGTCAGAGACATTAAGGAGACACCACCACATCTGATCAAACAAGAAGACCACCAACCACTTGTTGTCATTCAAGTAGGGTTATGGGAGGTTGCTATGAGGAAATGGCAGAACATCAGAAAGGGACTTTACATTCCTTGGAAAGATGCTAAAGTCATCAGGAGCACCTCTACCCTCCTGAGTAGTGGCTGGGTCCCACAAGGAAGAGAATACAGGTGGTAAATTACTAGCTGATTACCAGAATGGTGTCGGGATTGAGGTTCTGTGTACCATGATATTGGGCACACCTGGGAGACCAGGTGTGCTGGCATGAGATGGAAGATGGCTGAACAGGTGGGGCCAAAGTGTTCTGGGGAATAAGCTGGCTGGGGAATAAGCTGGCTACCAGAGCGTTAAACTAGATTTGATGGTGTCTGAACCCTTCTTTGCATTTGGCTCAAAGCTTGCTTGGCGAGGCATTTCTTGTAATAAGACTCTTATCCAGGAGATGAGAGGCGGGTGTTGCCTTGTGGCACTTTGTGGACAATTTTACATTTGAAAGCATTTCATTGGAGCTGTTTCCCTTCAGAAGAGAGTGTGCAGGACTTTTTGCTGGCGGAAGATCTGTCCTGTGACCAAAAACTCCAGCTTGATACGGGAGAATTGGGGAATGATACCATCATATTCTGTGAAAAACAGGATGCAGGTGGGTACCTCCCTCTTATCTGCTGGCAAGGCCCGTAAGATGGGAACAAAGGAGTTTCTACTGAGATCCCAGAGCCAGAAGCTGCTGCTAAACAACTAAGATTTGTAATAAACTGGTCAGGCTAACATTTGACCCACTTTGTCTAAATCTCCTCTTGTGACAGAGAAGGGCGTGGGAATGCTGTCTTTTTACTCAACTGTGAAAAGAAATCTCCCAGTTGGCCAGAGGACTCCTTGGAGAAGATAACATTGCCAAGAGCCTGGCTTAAACGTTTCTGCATCCCTCTAGAGATACCTGCACCCTCTACTTCCCTACGGTGCCTGTATAGCAATGCATGCCACGTGGGGAACAAACAGGAAGAACGAGAGATCTGTGTGTACTTGCAGGCAAAGCAAGGTGCTGGTGTTTATGTGAGAGAACAGCTAGAATACATTGAGCTCCACTGCAGAGGGGATGATGAACAAGTGGATACAGCTTGTGTGTAAGAATTAAGAGTAGGGCTAACATAGGTGACACTGTTATGGGTGTGTTCTACAGGCCATCTGATCAGGAGGAGGAAGTGGATGAGGCCTTCTACAAACAGCTGGAAATAGCCTTGCGATCCCCAGTACTTGTTCTTATAGGAGACTTAAACCATCCTGATATTTGTTGGCAAAATAACCCGGCCAGGCACACAAGGTCCAGGAGGTTCCTGCAATGCATTGATGAAAACTTTGTGACGCAGGTGGTGGAGGAGTTGATGCAGAGGGCTGTGCTACCTGACCTTGTTTTTACTAATGAGGTAGGGGATGTGAAAGCTGGGGGCAGCTTGGGATGCAGCGATCATGAGAGGGTGGAGATCAAGATCTTGTGTGAAAGAATCAAAGCAATAAGTGGGAACACTACCCTAGACTTCAGCAGAGACAACTTTGACCTCTTCAAAGACCTCCTTGGATGTATCTAATGGGCTAAAGCATTAGAAGCTAAGGGGGCCCATGAGAGCTGGTTGGTCCTTAAACTCCATTCTATTAAACCTTGTAGTGGCTGTGATACATCAGACCTTGTTAAATGCTAAACATATCAAAGCGCTTTTATAAATAACATCAAAAGGACTGGGAATTTGTACTTACCCTTTTGGTCTCAAAACAAAATTAGCACAAAGAACCATAATCTATTCCTTAAAGTCATGTTTATTTCTTGTATGGACTAATTGCAAGTTTGATCTGCATCATGAGGGAGTTGTAAAGGAAAAATTTTCCTTTTCTTTCTTTTGGATAACAAGTGTCACTATTCCCAGATGAAAACGAGCTTCTCAAGAGAGTTAATTACAAAAAGCATCTTTTATATGTTAGCCCTTGATTCATGCAGCACAATTGTTAAGGAGAAGTATCAGCTGATGTTAATGAATAGTTTTATTTTTTGATGCAATTCTGAAGTACAGAGGTGTTTGTTTTTTATTTTTGTTTTTTATATTGCAACAAAACACAATACTGCTTTATCTGCAATTACAAAAGCCTGGAAAAGTGAGAGAGGAACTTTGGGTGGGTGGTGGGGAATACTAATAGGAGCAACAACATAATAGGACAAGACTGGGAAAGTTCTCTCAACTATGTGACATAACGGTTGGGAAATACTAAAAGACTGATGAAGACTGTCTGAAAGCCGCTGATCTTTTTTTGTTCCTCCTTTTTTATGGACAGAGTTGCTTTCTTTGTGCCAAACCTAACCCTTTAGTACCAGTAAGTAAGTGAAACATGCTGCAGGCAATGACTAATAAAAACTATAGCATTCTTCGTACTGGAAATTATGTTCTGTCCATACTGTCACATTTTTAACTGAGTTTCAGATCCCCCCTAAAAACAACACAGGGATATAGTAATGGGCTTGGAGAAATGGAAAAAGCCATCTATGCTGATATCTAGCATTCTCTATTGAGAGTATGTTTCATGCAAAAAGAGAAAAACAAACTGATCCCAACTCACAAGTCAGCTGATAAACTTTATGTTTTCTGCTGTAAGGAATCTGATAATTGAGGTCAACATATATCTTTATCAGCATTGAATCTGCTGTCTGATATCCAGTGTCAACAAGTGTAGCAAAACTATGCAAGTCAGAATTTGTGAAAACAAGCAAAATAGTTGATACCTTTCTCCCAGTCGATTATAGGAGAGGTTCTTGTAGTTCTGTAAATGGCTTAGAAGGTGTTAGATTTTTTTTGTGTGTGGAGAATGTATCCATCAGTGTCTTTTTAATATGGCATTCCTGTCACAGCTCCTGGCTCAGAAATTCCCTGAACAGCTGGCTGCTGAGAAATGGTAGACAAACCCACTTTCTGTGATTTAATTTTTTTGATGTGCTACTGTTCACTGGTGGAAAAATGATACTGGGCTAAATGGACTTTTTTTGTCTGTCACATTGTGATAGATAGCCCCCATGTTGTGACGTGAGGGAACACAGAGCTGCAAAATCCTAAACCTGACTAGCAAGAGCTGATCCTACTTAAGAGTCTCATAGAAGAGTTTGGTGCAGATATAATTTTCCGACCTTCTCCAGCATGCCAAGTTTATTAGACATGGGCTTGGAATTGGGAGGATTTAGTGTCTTTCTGCTCTGACAACAGCTTGTTGAGTGATAGAATCATACAATGGCTTGGGTTGGAAGGGACCTCAAGGATCAAGTTGTGCATATCTCAGCTGCTCTGTGTCTTCACATGGGACTAGGGAGCGATGACCTGCAAATAGGCATCATCTTGTTAAAAAATACACACAAAAATCCTTCAATTCTATTCTTATGTTGGTTTTTCTGCCATCCACAGTAGAACAGATTATTATTATTATTATTATTATTATTATTATTATTATTATTATTATTATTATATTTTGTGTGTGTGTGTAAAAAATCATGCCTTTATCGTCTATGCTGAGCTTTAAGCTCACCAAATGCTCACAAATACTTTATTTTGGAGGCTATTTGCAGTTGCTGGAATCACATCTGCAGAAATGTGGGCCATAAAAGCACTTGGTCATCTATTTTTTTCTCCAATCCAATTTTTTTTTTTTTTTCCTGGTCTTCTGAAAACTGTTATACCACAGCTTATGGAAATATTTGATGTCATTCTCTTTCGTTAAATTCTTCCCCTTGGTATGCCTCTTAATCTGTTTATTTCGAACTCTTGTCTCTCTCCGTTAAGTTTCTGCCCACTCTTCCACCCTGTTCTGTCACTGAAGACGTGACTTCCAGCATGGCACGCCCCAGCTCTGCCCCGTGCCGGAGCAGCTCAAGCTCCCGTTCCGGCCGCGGAGGCCGGGCTCCGGCTGTCCGCAGACTGCTGCATTCCATGGCTCTGCAGGAGCAGCAGCACCCTCTGCTGGGGTAAGGCATGAGCTGGATTTTGGGTCTTCATGGAGCGTGAAGCAAACCGTTAGAGGGGACTTCTTTCTGAAAGGTTGACGCTTTCTCCTGTGTGCATTCCTCCTGTTTGTTACCTCTCCTGGGTGCTCTAGAAATGGAGAAGACTGGATCCTCTTCTACTGCTTAAAAAAGAGCTGGAGGAGGACTTGAAGTATTAATGTGTTGCTTTATGGCCATTTTACAGCCATCTTTTGGGTTAAATCCTTGCTGTGGAATGGAAGGCTTTCCAGCTTTTCTGTGGGAAGACTTGGAGAAAGTAACAGCAAACCTCAGAGAAGGAAGTATACTAAGAATTATTTTGAGAGCTTTTATATTCTTGTCTGTGCATATTTTGGGGATTATAGGAAAATATTTGTGATATTTTAGGAGTTAATGTAATAAGTGCCATGTAACCTGGCATGTCAAAAACTCAGTTACATTGCAAGTGTGCGTGTATCCACCTAGCTCCAGAGAAAGACACTCCCTGTAGTCTCCATAGTAAGAGCCCCAGGAGGGGCTCACAGACCAGTGTTGCCTCAGAATGCATTCTGAATAGTGCAGTGGAACAGTTTGTCTTGCAGGAAGACAAAATGTCAACCTGACAGCCAGGAGAAGGGAGGAGAAGAGTGAATCTAGATTCAGGATTCCATACAAGCTTCTCTCAGTCTTGGATTAAGTGCCGCTAGTGTGGTGTGAAGGCTCGGCCTGCAGCTGGTATGTGGAATGAGGAATGAAGGTAAACGGAATAGTTGAAGAAGAGAAATATAGTCAAAGGAAAAGAAGTAGGAAACAGTTATTTGAAAAGTGGTGACTCAGTGACCTAAAATGGCTTTACAACAGCCATTAGTTGTGACAAAGTACAGCCTCATTAGTTAGAAGTACTGAACGAGATGATTGTTGACACCATAGAAGAGAGGGACACCATTCAGAGGGACGTGGGCACATGAGAATCTAATGAGATTCAATAAGTCCAGGTGCAAGGTGTTGTACTTGGTGCAGACAGGAGTACAGACTGGGAGAAGAAGGACATTAGGAGCAGCCTGGCAAAGAAGGACTCGGGAGTCCTGATGGATGAGAAGTTGGACATGAGCTAGCAGTGTGCACTTGCAGCATGGAAGACTAACAGTATGCTGGGCTGTGTCAGAAGAGGGGTGTCAGCGGGGGGGGAGGGGATTGCACCCCCAGCTCTACCCTTTTGAGGCCCCACCTGGAATACTGTGTCCAGGCCAGTACAGTAAGGATGTGGAGCTGTTGGAGCAGATGCAGAGGAGGACACAAAGATGATCAAAGGGCTGGAGGATCTTTCCTGTGAAGAAAGTTGGGAGTCAGTTGGGCTTGTTCAGACTGGAGCGAAGAAGGCGCTGGGGAGATCTCATTGTATTTGATGTATTTGAAGGGAGGTTACAAGCAGGTGGGGGACTGACTTTTTTACTCCATGGTAGTGATACGATGGCAAAAAGTTTATTCAGTGTCTGGCAGACATGCTGAACACACATAGTTTCTTTTGGTTTTGGTAGGTTTTCTGAGTTTTCAGTATCTGAAATCAGTCAAAACCTCTTATTTCTTATCCCAAAAGTACACTGAGAAAACGAGATTAGGTTTCATAAAGCCACAGATTCAGAAGCAAGTGAAGCTTTCTAAATGTGACTCTGAGGATGTATGCTTGAAGTCAGACTAGGCATGAATATCAGTTATTAGCACTACAGAAAAGACCAAATAAAACCACCATGTGCACAGAATACTGACTGAGCCATAAGCAAGTGTAAGTAGCATTGAAGGAGTTGTATCTGAGTGTTGCAGACAGGCTCTCTCAAGGCAAAGGCTTGATCTGATAGCAGAAAGATTCACACTATTTTAAGAAGACAAGAAAAGTGCATTAATAAAAACAAGATAAAGAAAGTATAATAATAG